TAATAAATTCTAAACCATGGTCCACTTAGAAAAAAAAATCGTGCGCAGTCAGTTGGAAAATCCATCGTGCAAGTGTAACTATTATAATCGACGTATCTGATTTTGCAAAGAATCACTTCAATCAACTATTTCTAGATATAGCTGGAATTAGGGCGTAGCAGCCTTTGTAAACAATTACTTCTATCGATGATTTCTAGGAACTCAAGGCACACCCACGCAAACCAACATAACCTTCGGGTAGGGGAAGTCTTCCCTTACCCGATGGTGTTGTTGATTTTCGTTAGCGAGCATTAACTTTCTAAAAATCATCGAAAGAAGTCATTTTTTACAAAAGCTGTTACGCCCTAATTCCAGCTCTATCTAGATTTGTGGTAACTGCTAGCGAAGAGTGTGAAGCAAAAAAACCTTATCGAACCGTCAAACTGGTATCCTATCGAACAAAATAAACAAAAGTTGATGTTCCCCAATTTGGTGAAGGCAAGTATTGTAATCGCTGAGAATATACTATACTCTCTGGTTGAAAAAAGTCACTTGAAGTGTGCCCTTCAGAAACAGTTGCCAGAACTTGTAGGATGGAATCATAATAAAAAGAGTGCTGCCGTTTCCACGGTTTTTCACTCTTCGCCTCTCTACCTATTCTCTCTGGTCTGGGTAAGTTAGCTGCTAAGAAAAATCGTCAATTGAAGTTATTGTTTACAAAAGCAGATACATCAATTTGAATAGATACGCTTGCGTGGTCCGCGTTCTAGCTGCCTAAAGTGTTAATTTTCCTAGAAACACTGTATGGCGCGTGCTCAAAACGTACAGGGAAACCTTGACGACGAATCGGAAGCCTCAATGTAAACGCCGGAGTGGAACTGTCAACAGTCAGCTCCATCGAAAGGTCGTGGGTCCATCCGATCGCGATTTGAATAAAAAGTATATGCTAGCGCCCGTAGTACAGTACAGCGAATTCGCTACCGCGAAAGCTTACAGGCCTACCGCGCCAGTAGGCATCCAAATCGAACACCCAAGCAGAAAACCGTAGCTAGAACCCGTGCTCGAAAGCTGTATGACAACCTACTGATCAAGTCCGGTGGTTGCATACTTATGGATGATGAAACCTAAGTAAAGACCAACTTCGGACAGCTTCCAGGATTAAAATTTTACAAGGGAAGGCTCGAGGAGGTTTCCATGGCAGATTCAAATTTATTTTTAGCGGATCAATTCGCACGTAAATTTATGATCTGGCAGAGAATTTGCAACTCGGATGTTTACAAAACCGAATGTCTCCAGAAGCGAATTCTGCCCTTCATCCATTCACATTTTGGCTGGATCTTGCGAGTTGTTACTACTGCCAGGAAGAACAACAATGGAACAATGACAACTGAGTCCAATTTGTTCCGAAAACCTTCAATCGATCAAATTGTCCCCACCCGCATAAGCGCGAACCATAAATTGACCTTACCTAAAATGGTTAAAATTGTTTATAATCCCTGCTAAACTTCAACTGAAATGGTTATGGAACTTTACATGAACGTTTAATGATAAAGTTTTAACCTTAAGTATTATAGTTTTTTGGAAGTGGACCTTACAAATAATGGGTTGTTAAGAACCATTACCATTCAAAATTCTTCTTTTCTCCATACATTTTCGGAAAGAAAACTATACTAAAACCTTTAAACTTATGGTTTGAGAACATTAATGGTAATGGTTATGGTAACCAGTAAGGTCCATGAATGGTTTTGTAGCATCGATAAACTTTATGTGGAATATATCGCGAATTGGTTGCCTGTAAATTACTGATTACCAATTCACGATATATTTCACGTAAAGTTGAGCGATAATACAAAACCATTAATGGACCTTACTGACTACCATAACCATAACCATTAATGTTCTCAAACCATAAGTAAAAACGTTCTAATATAGTTCTCTTTCCGAAAATGTATGGAGAAAACAAGAATTTGGAATGGTAATAGTTCTTAACAACCCATTATTTGTAAGGTCCGCTTCCAGAAAACCATAATACATAAGGTTAAAACTTTATCACACAAACGTTCATGTAAAGTTCCATAACCATTTCAGTTGAAGTTTAGCAGGGATTATAAACAATTTATAACCATTATCGGTAAGGTCATGTGATGGTTCGCGTTTATGCGGGCAGTTCAGGCCATTGAAAACTACTAGGCAATTATGAAGATAAAACTGAAGGTAAAAGGTACAGTCATAAAACCGGTAGCTCAGATGAAAAATTGGTGGGAAAAAAAGCGTCAAAAGCATGCTGTGGTGGGTTCAAAACTTGACCATCTAAAATGATCAATTCATTCCGTTTTTTTTTTCTTAAAATATAAGGAATAGTATGCACTTGAGTGAAAACCGTTTTCAAATCCGAAATAGTTCCAAATGATGGTGTTCCATTACTAAGTGGGCCATGCTTTATGTGAGCAATCTCTTTCGACTATCTCTTTCGTTAATAACTTGACACTCTAAAAAATCTTCACGTCCGATTTACGTGGAATATCACGTAGCTGATTTGTATTTAGAAAATCTCAAATGTTACGTGACGTTAGTAACTTTGACCTGCATTACACGTCATGTCCACTAAAAATGTTGGTGAAATTTACCGTATATTCACGTAAACAGATTTAGTGTATTTGTGTTTGTGTGTTTGGGACTTCGATATTTCCGTGAAACGAAATTTACGTGATTTTCAGGTACGCAAAAAAATCAATATGGCGTCACCGAGCGTGTGGTGGAAGAACTCCTCAAAGATTCAAAATTCCTCAGCGCTTGCTGCAAATGTTGGATTAGATTAGAGGTAGTTAAATTCTTTTACATTTGTTTATTTGTGATTATATGTAGCCTTTTTCAAGTTTTATAATTCCAGACGGTGACGTCAGCATTTTGAGTCTGCAAACAGGTGTTAATATTTTTTCAGAATTATAAAAAAAAACTCATACACGTTTCTACCTTATAATAATCAATTAGTCAATATTTTACAATTTTATGAGTAGATATAAGTATTAATTTAAACACGTGAAATTTATATCTTCCCGATAAAATTGCATAATATTGACTGCTTCTATATATACTTCCCATTATTCTCATTAAAAATTCACGTATAAATTACATGAAAAGCATTTTAAACAAAACGGAATGTCACGTAAAAGTTACCAGATGTCCAGTAGTTTTCACCTCGATTTCATGAAAGCAATACGTGGAAATCAGGTCTTATTTACCTGAATAATCACGTAGATAATCGAAGCTGAATTTTTATCGGCTACGTGCAATTCCAGTAAAAGTTACGTGACAAATAGGGTGGACGAAAACCACCTATGTTTTCACGTCAATCGGACGTGAAGATTTTTCAGAGTGGAGCAGAGAACCGTTTCTTGATGTGTTTGTCATATTAGATGCCTGATAAAAACTTCTTTTATCGATCTGTGTGTTGAAAATACCTGGGAATGTCTTTACATGGCCGTGGGGACGCAAAGGGAAAGTCGACGATGTTCAGCTTGATATATATCTTATTGGGCACATGGGGTTCATGTGATTTAGTGGTGCAATTTTCAATGGATCAATGAAAATGCTGAGGTTTTGACAGAACTATGCTGTGGCTACCACTGTATTTTACATTTGATCGTCCATATACAGTAGCGCCAAAAGCATGTTGTGGTGGGTTCAAAACTTGACCTAGATGGTTTGATCAATTATGGGATCACATGAAAGTTTATGTGGAATGGATATGTTCTACTGTTGATATAATGTGATTTATTTTAAGAGTGGTGGAGTCTCGGATCCTTACCTTAATGACCTGGGACATAGGTTGTCATATCAAAAAAGCTGCCGAGTTAAATTTACTATATTATAGTAACTTTTACTCTAAAGCTTTCAATTTCAAATTTTTTTTAACTTTAATTACATCTACCTTCTATCAGGCATTATTTGGAATCTGCAACCATTTGGCATATGAACATTTGAAATTAGTGATGATAGTTTTTCCATTAATGACCTCCTTCCTCCCCATATTGCGCACTGAACGTGTACAGGATACTTGAATGAGTGAACGTGAGGTAGACGCTGTCTAGTACGCAGAAGTTTTCGGATTGTAATGATAAAAAATACAACTTATCTCTGTTTGACTTTTCGTATATTTTCAACTAGGTACATAATTTCGTTCCTATATGCTTCTCCAACAGATTTGGTGTATGTACTAGGTACCCAACGCCGGTACCACTGTCCACTAGATTCACGTCCATGTCGATGTAGTTGAAAACCCATTTCCAACATTTGATCGCGCACAAACCGCGGTATCAAACTTGTATGTATTTGTATATAGAAGAGAGTAATTCTTAATAAGCATGATAGTAGCCACATAGCGCTAGGTTTGTTCTTTTAGTTTGTTCTAGTAGTAGGTTAATATTGCATTGATTCTAAAGTTTCAACAAATGCTTCGCCTTTCGCAACCGATTACCAAAACACCCTAAAAGCATACTGCAGCTATTCCCATAACAGACCCATGTACATATGAATTCCACAGGACATGGGACTGTTATGTGAATAGCGGCAGCATAGTAAGTGATAGGTAGGAAGTAAACCTCAAGGCAAAGGGGACTGCGAAAATTGCCAATGCATTTATGACCGCATCCGCTCCTCTCTTTCCCGAAGTTTTTAGGTACTCAATTTTGGTAGTCGATTAATTACCATTATATACCGGTCACAAGCGGAAGGACAATTTGTAGTGTAGTGCTAACACTTACATCGTCAGTTAACAGTATTTTAACAAGTCAACTAAAGCACATCAATTCACTATTTGCATGACGATCATTCATATCCTGGAGACGATGTCCTCTGCCGTTATTATAATAGTTTGAAGTTGAAAATTTAACCCAAAAACACGAAACCCTTGGAGCCTCTGAGATCGATGATCAGACATTTATAGATTATTCATCCGATTCGAGCCACCTCGACTCGGCCGTCCCTTTTGTTCGTCCGCTAAATTTTAATTAAAGCTACCGTTACTCTTGTGTTTTGTTTATTCATTGTGAAATACATCGTCTAATCAATTGTTACGTCTTGGTGATGCACAGATAAAGCAATTTGTATTATTTTTGTGTTTACTTTGGCAACATCCAAACTACTTAGCGTCGAAAAATTCCAACTTCACTGATTTCTAAGAACAATAAAGATTTGTCTTTCGATTTGCTTTGTTTCATTTCTAAGAGCTCACTTCCGTTTACATTTGAACTGTTATGTTTTTCGTTCGTATATTGCATTTGCGTTTCGCTGGTTTAATTCACATGTTCCTTGTCGGCCAATTTTGCAGCAGTATGGTTAAGTTGGATTAGAATTATTCTCAAAAATATCATGTAAATATATGTATATAATCTGCTCTTCTGAAAATCACGACTTCAATTTAGTTTTTCGCACTGTCGGCGAGGTGCGCTTTCCGTTCCGCATCACTATTAGGATCTAGAACAATACGGTCAACTTGGTTACATGATCGATTTGGTTCCAAAAATATTAAGTTGATACTCGTGCGAAGCTTCAATTGTACCGAATAGTTCACACACTATCATTTTAAACAGGTAAGTAGGAGTTTTTGTTGCAGGAGGTAAATATTGCAAGATTGTGTTTTTTTTTAAGTGAACGATATACGTAAGGGGGGACTAGATAGGCCAAAAGAGTGTAGAATCGCTTCTTATCTGTACATCATTACGTCCGTGCTTTGGTACATGCACATGTACGCATCACAGAGCAGTCGTTTAGCGTGTTCAGGTAACATCTTGTCGTTGGTTGCCTTCTCGTTCAGCTGGCGGGCGCCCTCGTCGGATAGCCACAGTGGTAGATCGGGCACCGCGATCATCTCCGGAATGTTGTAACCGTTTTGCTCACCTGGAATGGAATAAGAATGTTGGTATCGTCACAAATGTCTACGGTCCTTACAAATTTCTAAAAAATTGTATGAACGATTGTCTACGCCGGGGGAGGGGGGGTCTCAAACCTCTAAAAATCGGTCTACGTAGTTTATGAACCGCCCCTATCACAGTTCCAAGTATTTTTCAAAAAACCAGGATGCTCTATGATCAGTTTCATGGATTGACCACTTTTACGGAAGTTCCGGAGGATGGTCCCATGACCGTCCGGTTTCATGTTTATGTCATGACACCGAAATTTTTCTTGTACATATCACAGTTCCAAGTGAGTGTTTTCGAAAAAACTGCGGAGCTATAGGATCAGTTTCATGGATGGACCATTTTTACGGATATTACGGATCTTCCGGAGGATGGTCCAATGGCCATCCGGGATAATATTTATGTCATGACCCCAAATTCTTTCCTACATTGACTACTATCCTACGGAGAACTGTCCCATGGCCATCCGGGTCCATGAAAATGTCACGACCCCAAATCCATTTTATCATCACAATTCCAAGTGTTTTTGAAAAAAAACCGCGGAACTGTAGGATCAGTTTCGTGGATTGTTCCGAATCTTCTGGAGGACCGAACCGTTGTTTCCAGGATCCGTATATAGGAACCATGACTGTATTATGGCTTATTACGAACATTATTGTGCCCATTAATCTAAATTATAGATCTTAAGCCACTTGCAAAACCCATAAACACACATTAAAAAAAAAAAAAGTGTAACGATTCTTTTCGCTTTAGAATTCATTTTTTGTTTGCACAACCAAAATAATCTACAGACCCTAGGAATTCTAAAGGTACCACAATCTTTGAAATTCATCAAGAAATTGCTAAGTTATGTCATTGCAAACTTGCCGTTAAACGTTTTTCGGAGGCATCGTATTCGGAGTGTTAAACACGCGAATGTATCGCAACGACCACAACCGAAAATAGCCCCCCAAAACCTACCTCGTCTGTCAGCCATCGAATCGAAGAACACCCACGGTGCATCCTGGCCGGAAGCGGCCTTCACAAATGCCACATAGTGGGACGTTTCGATGCACACCACGGCAAACAGTTCCATGAACAGCCGTGGCACCGGACAGTGTTCGGCCATAATTTTAAAGTCCTTCGGCACGGTCAATGGACTCGGTTTGTGAGTCTTCCGTTTCACGTGGGAATGTGCCGTTTCCAAGCAAGCCGTGCAGAGAGTCGTGCTCTCCAAAGTGGTTACTTCCTGCATCAATCCGAAACACTCGCGACACTCATGTTCCGCTAGCTTGCCGCAAATGAAGCACTGTCGAGGAGCTGAAATAGATGTTTTTTTGTAAGAGGTAACTGGTTAGAGGTTAGATTATTCAAAACAAGTTTTAACACTTACAATCTTCGATGATGTCAGTCACGTCCAGTACCTGTGACGGTAGTATTCGAGGGTACATTTTAAAGTTCTTTCCAAAACGTGGCATTTGTATGATGAGACAGGAGGGCACTTCCTTTAGCTTGATATTGGACGTCAAGAAACTTTGTTCGAACAGTTGCTGCACTGAGGGCAGCTTCAATTGGTCATCTTTTTCAACGAACAATTGATAGTAGAACGTGTCCAATCCGGAACTCAACTGTTTGATGGAATGAAAAATAGTAAGAAAATTGAATATATTTCATTTTATCGATCGAACCTTTAAAAAAGGATCTGCCCGTAAAATCTGAGCCAGCAGACTATTGAGAAACTCCTCCGGGTCCTTTTCTTCGCTGGTGAGACCAGTGACCGAACTCAATCTGTCCAATAACTGGCGTAACTTCATCACCCTATCAGCTCGAACAAAGTGATTCTTTCGCAATGGGTTGACTATCTCTTCGCGCAGTACCTTTTGGACCTCTTCATATTGGGGATTATCCTGTAATGTTCAACACGATCAATATATGGCGCTACTGTCAAAGCTTTCACTTCTCTAACCTCGGGTTCCCTGGGTCGGAATAATAGCGAGTCAAACACGCTCGTAAATGTAAACATTGAGAACAATGTTGCATCCAAATAACACGAATTGTGATGTCCTTGAATACCTCTAAACTTGCCACAAATAGATTCCAACTCAGTTTGTTGAAGGATTTCTGTACGAAATAAGAACATTTTTAATATGGAATTAAATCCAAATAAAAAACATCGACTCACTTAGTGGTGCCACGGCGCCCTCCACAATAGGGCAATCCACCTTGCCAAACATGGTGGTATCCAACGATTTGGATGTAGAAGCTACAATCTTGGGTGTAGCTGGGGACGCGGCACCAAAATCCTGGAACCGGCGATCTTGATTGCACTGTGCAGGGTAAACAAAGATGGCTCGCTTCGGCGGACACTTGAATAACCTGTAAAGAGACAACATAGGTTAAAACTAAAATTCTTTGGGAACCTGAACCTACATCTCATACTTGACACCGTTGTAAGTCCCGTCGGTGGCATGTACATTGGCATCGATCGGTTCGTCCTCCAGTTCCACACCGACCATCACGCGGGTGTTGCTACTGCTAGTGCCGGGGATGTGCAACGGGCCGATCCAACGGATCACGCCATACAATTCAGCCTTTTCTACATCAACCTCTACCATCGAGCCGACTTCAAAAATTGGATTGTCCGGAACTTCCTTCAACGGTGACGGTTGGATGGCAATATCCGAGCCCTCCGAAGGGGACGAGGCAATCGTGTGAGGTATATTGTTGCTATTGTCATACACTTGTGAGGATCCATCGTTCGGTTCTAAAAGTGACCAATCCAGAGCGTTGCCAGCGCCGGATGCAAAAATGGAACGGGAGAATGAATTAGTGATTCCGAAAAATCGATGGTAGTACAGATCCCACAGAAACATGACCGTAGATCTAATATGTTCTTGAAGGACCATTGATGGAACAGTATTAAAAACAATGGGAAAGAGTGAATCTTGTTGGGGGTTTTAGAACGGCTATCAATTTGAAACTCGTCACTCCACACTACGGATGCAAAATAAGATCAAACTGTGAGCAGGGTTGCCAAATTTAATTCTTGTTTTCATTTTATTTTTTTTATTTATGGACGAGGGGTTCCTTTTCCTTGTAAGGTGATCGGTAATGAAAAATTTACCACAAATTATTAAAATAATTGGTGAATTTTGAATTACTTAGTAATTTCCTAGTTAATTTCAATGTAATAAAAATATTTGTGGGTAATTTATGGGTAATGTCAGGAATTCCTACTGCTTGAAAAATACTTGGGTGATCTTAAAAATAAATAAAACAGTAATTTGAGTAATTCCATAAATATTTGCAATCTGGAATTATCATATTCCTTATTATTCTATGTAAATTTTAAGATTTTAGTTGCTTCAGATTTACTTTATTTTTAAATTAGTGAAAATCGAATTTAGATATTAAAAAAAAATGAAAAACTGGAAAAAAAATAAGAACCATATTATGCAACCAAATCAATGCGACTTTTTCATATTAGGGGCGATCCATTTATTATGTCCCTCCCCCTTTCGTTACGTTTTTCCTATACCTAATGCATTGCTTGTCACAAAATCATAAACCTCTCTCCCCCTCGCCGTCACCCCTCAGCACGATAATCGAGATTTTGATTGCCAATTCAAGCTGAACATTGCATTAGGTCCTAAGTAACATGGACAGATTCTCTTCGTTGACTTTCTCTTTATATCTCCACGGCCATCTTAAGACATTCCCAGGTATTTTCAGCACATGTATCGATAAAAGAAGCTTTTATCTAGCATCTAATACGACAAACACAACAAGAAACAGTTATGTGCTCATGGTATTAACGAAAGAGAAAGTCGACGAAGAGAATCGATCAATGTTACTTAGGACCTAATGCAATGTTCAGCTTGAAATGCCCAAATCCAAATCCTGGATCAACAATAGAAAAGGGCCCATCAGCATTTGTAAACAAACCGTTCCAAAGCGCATTCCTCACAAATCGAAGGCTGCCCACACCCCACACAAACCAACACCATCATCGTGTAGGTGAAAGTTTCTCCTATCCGATGATGGTGTTGGTTTTGGGAGTAAAGGGCTTTGGAACGGTTTGTTTACAAATGCTGATGGGCCCTTTTCTATTGTTGATCCAGAATCAAAACAAAAGCAACAGACGAGTCTTGCTATATTGAAATACAGTATTTACAGTAAAACTTTCAAATTCCGGTTTTTCAATGAAACTGTTTTAACTCAGTTTGAAATCTCGAGTAACATTTGAAATGGGCCTATGTCCAAAACGTAAACAAATCGGGTTTTGATACCATTCCTTAGCACTGCTTGATAGCTACCAATCGTGTAGGAAAGTTCCGCCCTAATAAAAATTGTATGGTTAATTTGCTTAACGACGTGTTCTGGGTATCATCCAAACCATTTGTGGAATAGTTCAATGATTTGGGTTATCGTTCGTTTATGGTTATTTTTTATTAGGGCGCATAATCGAGAAAAATCATTAAAAATAACTCGATTTTCGAAACGGCCGATCAACGCAATTTTTCGATTCATTAATAGGCCCGCACGCTAAAACGGCCAACCATTTATTTATTTCATTTCATTGATAAGCCTAGTGACGTAGAAGGGCCGATGATTGAAAAATTTCAAACCAAAGCTAGGCCCTACTGCTTGAGGCAGGGCCGATGATTTGTTTTGAATTTATTTGACGTTGCGAAAAGGCTTAGCAAAGGGCCTACCATTTATGATGACAAGCACAACGGCTTAACAAAAAGGGCCTATCCATTGAAAGATCACAAAAAAGGCTTATTAATTTATGAAATTATATTGTTATCGATTTTCATATAATTTTGAAAGCTTTTCGCATATTTTGGATGTTGTATACTGAGATACAGTTACTATTGTTATTGCGAACAATATAAATGCCTAAAATACTTCAATCTTCTTAAATATGAATTGAATAATGGCGGTCAACATTTAAAATTCATTTTCTGGTTTGTTTACGTTTTGGACATAGGCCCATTTCAAATGTTACTCTAGAAATATGAGTTTAACATCATTCCAGTTTTGTTTTTTGTTGTGCAGTTTATTTTTATTAATCGAGCTTGGATTTCATCACATTTCTCTAACAATTCCACCTTTGGAAAATTGTTAATCATTGAATAATTGAGTATTCCAAAGTAATTCCTAAAATTATTCAAGTAATCGTAGTAATTTCGGCAATCGAGAGTAATAAAGGTAATTTCAAAGTACTAAAGTAATTTTAATTAATTGAAAAATTATCAGAGTAATTTTCGGTAATCTGACTGGCACTGACCGTTACTTAACGCTGGTAGGAATCCCTCGAAATGTGACCAGAGACCAAAAGTGCGAGAGTCACGCAATACAAATAACCGGTGCGTTGAAGTTAAAATGCAATCACAAGTTATTTAAATTTAAAAGTATGAACGTTCAACATTCATCTAGTGATGGCCGATTTTCATTCGAATAATCGATTAACGAACCTAAAAGTAAAATATTTGTAATCGGTTATATCATGCCGATATAAGCATTTATTTCTCCAGATGATCATCACCGACCGTTTCAAACATGTGCTGCACTCTCATTGGTGGAAAAATGACAGCACAGCCCTATGGGGTTATACGCAATTGTGACGTATGACTACGTGGTCCTATACAATAAATCTTATTTGTTAACTGCAGCACGAGCTTGTGTTTTGTGTAGGAATAGGAACTTAAGCGGAGTTTTCTCTGTTTATCTTCTTTAGTATGACGCGCTTGACATAAATGGCCCACAGCGACTCACGAAGAGCTACTGAATCCGATCAATAGCGGTACGGCTTCTCTCTCCTTCTATGGCAGCAGGCAGCCTTTCGTTGTGTACTGTAGAACACCATCACTCACCAATATGTATGATGAATGAATGAATAAACACCGTTTGGTGAGACCGGATGGAATTTAACTTTGAAATCTGTTTTAGGGAAATCGGTTTTCGCAGGCAATCGGTGATAATTTTAATTATCATAGCAAAACTTACACATTCGTGCAATTTTCTATAGTCAGATTTTGAAAAATGATGGAGTCTTAAATTTAACAGATGCGTAGAAATATTTATGATCGATATGTGATAAAATTATTGAAATTGGTCCAGGGGCAGCTGAGTTATCAACGTTTAAAATCTTTCATAATTTTGTTACATGTCCCATTTTTGGTTTTCACCCCCTTATAGAAATCATAGACGTAGTCCTACGTCAAAAGTGCGCCAAATTTCACCTCTACCGAGGGGGCAGCAAAACCACAACATTACCTTGCATACGGGGGATATTCATTGGATGAAAGGGACCGTGAAAGAGGACACTAAAATAGAAGTTTTTCTTCCGACAGTTTCATCTTAGTATTCTTGTTTGGTACCATCAACAATCAATACGAAACTAACTATTTTAAATTGGCTCACTACTTGACTAGCCTATTGGTCCCAAGCAAACGATTAACGTAACCCATTTTAGTCGAAATTCTAGTACTACACTATGTTTGTTTTGATTCGCTATGAAAGTTTGACAGATACAATGAGGGGTTAGTGGATTTTGCTATGTTTCGAGGGGTGAATCGATTAGCTTGGGACCGAAGATAGTACCAAAAAGTTGAGCTCGTTTCTTTGGGACCTTCTGGTCTTAGAGTTACTATCCTTTCACTCCACTGAAAATTCCCATAAGAAACTGTCTATATTTGCTGGAAGAGCAAATTTTTCGACGGTGCCGTTAACGTCAATAACGGCTAGCAGCAACTGCTAGTCGTTTCGTGTCTGCCATCGGTGAAGATAAAAAAGAGATAGCATTATAACAGACAAACAGAGATAACACATTGAACACTTCTCACTGTAAAACATCGTCGCTAAAACATTGCCGCCATCTGTTGAGTACACTGTGGTGGGCCATACGCTGAACAGATGGCGGTAGTGTGTAAACGTCAAACGCAAGGTAATTAGGTTGTTTACGGGTATTGAAGTAAATGCATATTCTTTATCTGCATTAAAAATGGATCCGAAATCCAAAATTTCATCAATTTTGGTACACTGCAAATATTTTAAATAAGTACGATTACATTGACAAAAATCACCATCTTAGCACCCCTTGGTGGGACTTTGTATGGGAGTGAGCTGTCATCGAATAGATTCAGTGTCAACGATCAAAACTTTAAATCTTGATTTAAAAATCGAGATGAATATCTATGGGATCGATAAAAAAATATTGTTGTGCTCAGAAAACGAAGCTCTATCAGATGATGTACAAAAATCGGTATATTTTTCGAAGTTAAACAACTCAATTGACTATGAGCGCAACAGGTGGCGGTACTACCAACTACGATACTTTTAAATGGTCCGTTAAATGCTTGATCGATGAGTTGCGAGAGTTATGTCTGTTTGTCTGTGGCATTATTATACCCCCTCTTTCTAAGAAAACGAGGTGCAACGGAATCGTTTTTGCGTTGATTCAACTATCAGCTTCAATCGAGGCTTCAACTTGAAAGTGTATTCAGACTTGAGCGTACATTAGCGGAGCGGAGCAAAATTTGCGTTGGAATGAGAGACAACTAGTACTTTTCTCCTAGATTTTCTCCCTCTCGTACCTTCGCAAAATCTCTCTCCACGCTTGAAATATCGCTCAGATCTGAATACACCTTTACACGTTGTGGATAATCTCGCAATATCAAAGAAGCTTGTAAAATCAATATCAAGCATTATAGTTTGCTCCAATATCACACGTGATAATGAGACCGTATGAGAGCGGAA